CCACATGGAAGAGAAATGTCACAAGGACTGAGAAAGAAAATCATTTCTGTACACAAGAAAGGTGAAGGCTACAAGAAGATCAGCAAAGCTTTACTTATCAGTCAAAATACTGTAGCAAAAGTGATACCAAAATTTAACAAAGATGGAATTGCAGCCATCTCACAGAGAGGTCCAGGCCATCCACGGAAGTTAACACCTCAATAGTAGCATCTTCTGATGAGAAGGGTTGAAGAAAATCACCAAGCAAGTTCACTGCAGTTAGCTAAAGAAGTAGAAAGCCAAACTTAGGTGATTGTTTCCCGTGACACAATACGGTGTACACTGCAAGCAAATAGCATGCATGTGTGTCGTCCACAAAGTAAGCCTCTCCTAAAGACCATGCACAAAAAAGCCCACCTAGAATTTGCCAGGGCCCATGCTGAAAAAAAGAAGAAAACTACTGGGACTCTGTACTCTGGAGTGATGAGACCAAGATAAATGTTTTTGGAACTGATGGCTTCAAAACTGTATGGCGTCGCAAAGGTAAGCAGTACAAAGAAAAATGCATGGTGTCTACAGTGGAACATGGTGGTGGCAGTGTCCTTCTGTGGGGCTGCATGAGTGCTGCTGGTGTCGGGGAGCTTCATTTCATTGATGATATCATGAATTCACAGATGTACTGCTCTACATTGAAAGAGAAGATGCTACCATCACTCCGTGCTCTTGGTCGTCATGCACTTTTCCAACATGACAATGATCTAAAACACATCTAAGGCCACTGTTGCATTTCTGTAGAAGAACAGGGTGAAAGTGAGTCAGTGGCCAAGTATGTCTCCTGATCTGAACTTAGTTGAACACCTATGGGGAATTCTGAAGAGACAAGTTGGGCATCACTCTCCATCCAGCATCCAGGCTCTAAAAGAGGTTGTTCTTGAAGAATGGAAAAAGATTGATGTTGCAATATGTTTCCAACTTGTTCATTCCATGCCAAGAAGACTTGGCACTGTCCTTGCAAATCATGGAGATTATACAAAATACTAGATGTAGTAGTTTTTTTTGTGGGGTATATTCATTTTTGCATCAAATAATTTGAGTAAAACTGAAGATTTTGTAATCTAAGTCATATTATTAACCTTACTTTCATGTAATAAGTTAAACAAATGTTCTATAAAACTCAATTTGGTCAAAATTTTTAAAATTGTTCATGTGTTCCTTGAGATATTGATTAAAATCTTACTTTTCAAAAACGGTGTACTCATTTATGCTGAGCACTGTATGAAAAAAAGGTATTTAAATACAGTGCCATCATCCATTTACTTGAAGTGGAATTTCAGCCGAAAGGGGAAATTCCACTCTTTTTCCTCATCCCACTCTTTTCTGCCACATTTGGATTTTTTTTTTTTTGGAAGGAGTGGGTACCTAGTTTTGTGAAAGCTTCTTGGGTGTGGAGAGCGCTGAATCTTCGGGCAGGTGAGTGTCTGTTTATTAAAAGTCAGCAGATACAGTTTTCGTAGCTTTCATACACCTGACTGAAGCGAAGAGATAATGTAAAATAAACACTATACCTGGAATTCAAAAAGATTGGCACAAGCAAATTTTGCGATAGTGTCTCTCATACATTCTAAAAGTGGTGAAGAATGCACCAAATTCATGTACCTGTCTGGAACTTGAATTTGACTCATGCTGCGCCACTTTTAGAATGCACGTAACACACTTTCACAAAATATAAATGAGCCTGTCTTTCTCTCTGTACGACAAAGGAAAATTGGTCTTTATTAGCTCCACTTACACATTTGGTGCAGTCAATGCGACTCAATGTAAACATGACAAATTCAATGCGACACAATGTAAAAGTGGAGCATTTTAGAACTTCCTGAATCTGGTGCACAAGTTACTGTCATAAGCAAAAGTGTTGCAAATGCTTCAAGAATTTGGGGCAATATATTAACAAGAGGGATTAATGCCAGAAAAGTGATGCAGCAGCTTTGTTGAATTCTTCCTGCGTGTTAAGTAGCACTTTAATGGCTTGCCCAATAATGGTTAGACTATGACCTATTTTTTGTCTCAGTTTCAATACTTATAAGATCTGTATGACAACCATGGCTTTATTTCTGGTCTGCTTGCAGGCATTTCACACTCCTGACCACTGTACTCTGTACGCTGGGCTATATATGACATACTCCTAACCACTGCACTCTTAATACTATATTTTACATTATATACTTCTGACCAAAGTGTTTTTGTCTCAACAGTTACTGATTGCTAAGTAGTGACTGACAATTTTATGAAGTTCTTCTTTAAGGTAGGCTGAAAAGAATATGTAATGAAAGAGTTTAATTTAAAAAAAATTAGTTTTGTATTTTAAATCACACACCTCCCTGGTACTTCCTGGGGACAGTTCTCCACAGGGGGACCCTTCATTAAGGGGTATTCTTTACAGGACTGTTATAATACAGAATTGTGTATTTTTCAAGCGTTAGCAGTTTGTTACTGTTATTATTTTCTTTAAATATATGTAGCGCTACCCTTAAGAAGCCACTGCCTAGGATGGGTCCTCTGTTCTTTGCATCAACATTTTCCAAAGAACCTTAGCCCCCCAGAATAGTTGTTATGGGAAAGGCAGTCCATTGAGATGTTCTTCTGCCAGCTATAGTTGGGGCCCTTTAAGAGCATGGGTGCATTTAATGACAGTCCCAGTTAACCTGCATACAGTAGAGGTATGGTATAGTCTCAGTACAGGTGCAAAGTAGATGTGGTTTAGATGTGATAAAGGTTTGGTATAATGCAGTACAGGATTGGTATAGATGGAGTCTAGGTTTGGAATAGGTGAGGTATACAGTGCAGTATGGATTGGGTACGCTTGGTGTCCTATGGCTCAGCTCCTGCTAGCAGTATCAGCAGTGGGTGAATAACCCTCTCACTGGTGTCTTGGATGCTGTGGTGACCTCTGCTTTAGAAAGGGGAGAGAGGTTTCTCTAAACACCTTGTGGCAATGGTGAAGATGAGGTTGCTGCGGTCTGTGCTTCTCTGTCCTATGTTTCTGAGCTCTTAGGTCTCAGTCTCTAGCTCTGGTCACTCACACTGTGGATTCATATGCACTAGGACTGATGTGCACACCTTGGCTCCCACGCTACAAAGAGGAAGAGGTTTCCAGTGCAGTCTGGTAAAAGCTGTTCCACCACTCCCCTTCCTCCTCAAACCCCTATAGGAATTGTATTTTAAAGGTCCATAAGTCCCATTCTTTGACTTAAGTTTCAAACTACAATTCCTATAATCCTCAGTGGGTGCCCACTTTACACTCTTTAGCCGTCATCTAAAAAAATGGGTGCAGGTCCCTTCATGGCTGGTTACCACTCATGTGGCCATACTGTATGCTCAGATATAACATGCCAAGAGAGCAGAAACAACCTCCAATGGTATAGTATTTAGATCAAGGCAATTTATTTGTTAAAACCACATTCACATTATATACAAAACCACTTAGATATTATTCTGTCCTACTAACAGTCGACGGCTAGCTAACAAAACCAACAGATGCAGTGCTGTGTTTTATTCCAAAACTGAATTTACTTCTGTGAATAGTTTTGTAAAACTGCAATACAATCACATAAACTGTTACAATATCCTTGTAGACGTGTTTTAATAATGCGTACAATGAACACATTTCTGGCAAAAAGCTACCTACAAATCACATTATATACAATTAAATGCAATCTAAATATACTATATTATATATGTGACTTTAATAAATAATAAATAGACTTACACTTGTGGCACGGCCTTGAGCTTCACTGTTTTTTGGAATAACAGCACTGGAAGGTTCAAGAATTGTATGCATGCACCTGGAAATGCACTTACGTTTATCATAAATCCTCACTGTGAGATAAACTTATAGATAGCACATGTGACTGATTAAGAACTTTATTTCAGCACACCTTAAGGTTCCATGCACACCGCGTTTAAAAAAACGCCAGTTCCTTGGTAGAAGAAAAAAATGCTCATATAGAGAGTTTTTGTACAAATGTTTAGGTGACTTTAGGAGTGTTTAGCAAATTTTCTGCCAGAAAACTCCAATCAAAAACATAAATCAGAGGGTTTTTTCTTCTGCCTCTAAGAGCTAAACTTAAAGCAGAACTCCAGGCAAAAGCTTCTTTACATGTCCTTGTTGCTGATTTCCTACCTTCACTGAATAGGTCATCCATCATCCGGTTCACTCAGTACTTGCTCTGAATTAGCATATTTTTTTTAAATCAAACTGTTAATTCTCTTTGGTTTCCTGTTTGTAAGACCAGTGGCTGCTATGCCTCCTATTCCCCCAGCCACTGGTCTTGGCACATCCCTTCTGTAGTTATTTCTCCAGGAAGCAGTAATGTAATTCAGCCCCACTTGCAGTGGTGGGCGGACCGAGACTCTCAGGCAAATTGAACATGTGTACCCACCCACATTCACTACAATTCCCTGTGGTTGATGGGAACTGTAGTTTCATTTTACTGCAGAGGTGATATGATGTAATCCCTGCTGTTACACCTCCTCCTCCTTGGCAGAGCGGATGCTGTTATCTTTTGAATTACAGAGATGAGGTCATGAAATTTCAATTATACTTTTCTCCTATGTGAGGATTTTCAAAATTGCATTACCTGTTTAGTGTTTTGTGTAGGGGGTGTACTAATGGATGATTTTTTTGCCTATTCCAGAGTTCTTTAAGCTGTTCCTCTAAACGTCCTAATGTGCATGGACACATAGGATAACACTTATTTATTCTATAGGAAAAACACAAAACTCCTGTAGAAGTAGCGTTTTTTAAGCCAGTGTGCATGGATCCTTACTATATTGTGGCATTTTGTCACTTGCTTTATTTGTTTAACTTTTTTGCAATTTTCAGTATATTGGTATTTATGGTAATACTTTATTTATTCACAATACTGTTGATATATGTATGTAACACCCTGCTCTAATGTCAACTGCAGGATGTTAAAACCAACAGAAGATGGCAGTGTCCTGCAATTCAGTGACACTCACACTTAGGGGCGGACTGACAACTCATGGGCCCCCCGGGCAATAGGGGATCATGGGGCCCCTGTGTCCTTGCCCAAACTCAAAAAAGCCTATGAAAAAGGTACCAGGGGCATCTCATGGGGTCCCCTACTGACCCCGGGCCCTCGGGCACTGCCCGAGTTTCCAAATGGTCAGTCCGCCCCTGCTCACACCCTGTAGAGCAGCCCCATGGACCTCGTATGCTGACTTTGCTGGGGAGAAGTGTATCAGAGGACTACTTTTCCCAGAAGAGCTGGTGTGTGGGCAGAGATATATATATATATATATATATATACATATGCAGAAGCCCGGGAGACTGGACAGAAGTTAGAGCAGAAGCAGAGAAAGAGTTGTGCTGACTGCCGGGGAACCGGACCAGGCTGCAAAGCTAGAGAAAGGAGAGGCAAGGAGGTTACTACAGCCCAGAGTGGAGTTGCCCTTTGCCAACAAGCCCTTTTGCCATTTTGACACCTCATTTGCCTAAAGCTGTCCTTTTTCTCAGTGCATTAAAGGGGACAGCACCCAAGTCAAGTGCCACGTAAAGGGGAAGTACTTGTCCTTCTTTCTTCCTTTCCTTGCATTAATCCTTGGAGGAACTGTTACCTTCACCCTTCCCTATTTGTGCACCGACTGGGCCCCAACAAGCATGCAGAAGAATCCTCACTGCATTTAAAGGGACATTGACCACCCTGGTCAAAGAGCTCTTTCTATCCAAGATTTAAGCCTTACCATCAGATTCTGAGGGCCGAAAGTGAGCTAGTTCTACTGTTGCTAGTTTTCATTGCTCATTGGGGTTGACAGCACCTCAGGTTGAAGATATTGGGTTAACTTCTGAAAAGCAGGCCTGCTAACACTGATTGAGGTTTTGCTGTATGTGTTGTTTCTTTGCTTAGAGTTGCTAAGAGTAATAATTGCCATTCCCCATACAAATACCATTTTGTACTGTCTAACCAAGCTTACATTAACCTCATATTGGTTTACTTTAATTTGTGTTTGAGTCTACTTTCTGTTGGTAATTTGCTGTGGTCAAAAGAATCCTGTGGTGCCAGCAGGGGTTGGACTTTCAGAAAGGGGGCCAGAATGACAGGGAGCCCGAAAATAACGAAACGATTCCTAAGGGGGTAGTGCTACATGTGCATATGTGGAGGTGAGAGCACAAAGTGCAGTTGTTATATTAGTCATGGGAGTAGCGCAGCACCATTTATTATTTGCAGTTTTAGTAGTCATTGTGGGAACACAAAAGGTGTCAGCAGCTGCCACATTATTTATTTATTATTTGGGGGGGTTTTGTAGCGCAGGAGTTAATTCTTACTCTAATGTGTGAAGATTGAAAATATGAAGATACTTATACTGTGGATTCCTGAATATTTTTTATGTTTTATGAAATATGGTAAAGAGGAAACAGAAAATAAAATTGTATCTTTATAAGTTCATGACTATTTGGATGGCATATATGTATACATATACGTGACAGATTAACCTCTTCCCATCTGCCCATTCTACATAGGCTGCAGACGGCAAGCTTTGCCGATGCGGGCTAATGTACCTGTACGTCAGTCCTCATCAATGGCTCCTGCATGGCTCACAGAGCGTGCACCCCGAAGCACGGCAATCTGTGTGTTGCCCAGACACAGTAGATCACATTACCGCTGTGTCTGGGTGATCATATAGTGTTTTACCCTGTGACTGCTGTGACCAATCACAATGGAAAGTGAAAGTATAGATCACTTCTCTCTGCTCTCAGTGTGAGAGCAGAGAGAAGAGATCCTGCAGTGTGTGAATGTACAGTAGCCTGTCAGGCGGCTTGTACACTCAAAGACTGCTGTACCAGCCACTTCAATGTCCCTGATCAGTGCCCATGTGTCCCTGATCACTGCCCCAATAAATATATAATAGACAATGCAGCTAGCCCCTGTCACCTGTTCCAGTGTGCACAAAAATACCCCCATACACCATAACAATGTCCTGATCACCACCATACCAGTATTCTGATCACAGCCATATCCCAAATCAACACCATGATCACTGCCATATGCCATACCAGCACCCTGATCACTGCCATACCCCATACCACCACCCTGATCACCGCCATACCCCATACCACCACCCTGATCACCTGCATACACCATACTAGCACCCTGATCATCTGCATACCCCTAAACCAGCATCCTGATCACCCCATTTGCCATACCAGCATCCTGATCACCGCCATGCGCCATACCAGCATCCTGATCACCCCATATGCCATACCAGCGTCCTGATCACCACCATACCCCATACCAGCGTTCTGATCACTGCCAAAACTCTTACCAGCATTCTGATCACCCCTATACCCCATACCAGCGTCCTGGGTACTGCCATACCAGTGTCCTGATCACCGCCATATCTCATGCTAACATCCTGATCAACGCCATACCAGCATTCTGATCACTACCATATGTGTGCGTCATTTTAGGGTCCCAACTTATCAATTTTTAAATATATATCCCATAGTTTGTAGCTCTATAGCTTTCACACAGACTAAATAATATACACTGTTTTGATAATTTCTACCCAAAAAATGTAGCAGAATACATTTTGGCATAAATTTATGAAGAAAAATTATTTATTTGCAAAATGTTTGCATAAAATAGATTTTTTTTCCAAAATCTTCGGTATTTTTTTCATTTATATAGCAAAAAATAAAAAACCCAGTGGTCAAATACCACCAAAAGAAAGCTCTATCTGTCTCAAAAAAAATATAATATTGGTGCAATGTTGCATGACTGAGCAACTGTCACTCAAAGTATGATAGTGCTGAAAGCTGAAAATTGGCCTGGACAGGAAGAGGGTGAAACTGTCCGAACTTGAAGTGGTTAAACATCTTGGTAAATACATGTCCTGTATTTAGCTCACACAGTATTTATTAATCTCACACAGTGATGTTTATACAGTTCAATTATTCACAATTATTCATACCCCTTGAAATTTTCCACATTTTGTCATGTTACAACCAAAAATGTAAATGTATTTTATTGAGATTTTATGTGATAGACCAACACAAAGTGGCACATAATTGTGATGCTGAAGGAAATGATAAATGGTTTTCAACATTTTTTACAAATAAATATCTGAAAAGTATGCCATGCATTTGTATTCAGCCCCCTTTACTCTGATACCCCTAACTAAAATCTAGTGAAACCGATTGCTTTCAGAATTCACCTAATTACTAAACAGAGTCCACCTGTGTGTCATTTAATCTTAGTATAAATACAGATGTTCTATAAAGCCCTCAGAGGTTTGTTAGAGAACATTAGTGAACAAACAGCATCACGAAGGCCAATGAACACACCAGACAAGTCAGGGATAAAATTGTGGAGAAGTTTAAAGCAGGTTTAGGTTATAAAAAAATATCCCAAGCTTTGAATATTTCAAGGAGCGCTGTTTAATCCATCATCCGAAAAAGGAAAGAGTATGGCACATCTGCAAACCTACGAAGATATGGCCATCAACCTAAACTGACAGACCAGGCAAGGAGAGCATTAATCAGAGAAGCAGCCAAGAGGTCCATGGTAACTCTGGAGAAGCTCCAGAGATCCACAGCTCAGGTGGGAGAATCTGCCCACAGGACAACTATTAGTCGTGCACTCCACAAATCTGGCCTTTATGGAAGAGTGGCAAGAAGAAAGCCATTATTGAAAGAAAGCCATAAGAAGTCCTGTTTGCAGTTTGCGAGAAGCCATGTGGGGGACCCAGCAAACGTGGATGAAGGTGCTGTGGTCAGATGAGACCAAAATTGAACTTTTTGGCCTAATAGCAAAACGCTATGTGTGGCAGAAAACTAACACTGCACATCACCCTGAACACACCGTCCCCACCGTAAAACATGGTGGGGGCAGCATCATGTTGTGGGGATGCTTTTCTTCAGTAGGGACAGGGAAGCTGGTCAGAGTAGATGGGAAGATAGATGGTGCCAAATACAGGGCAATCTTGGAAGAAAACCTATTAGAGTCTGCAAAAGACTTGAGACTGGGGTGGAGGTCCACATTCCAGCAGGACAACGACCCTAAACATACAGCCAGAGCTACAATGGAATGGTTTAGATCAAAGCATATTCATGTGTTAGAATGGCCCAGACAAAGTCCAGACCTAAACCCATTTGAGAATCTGTGGAAAGACTTGAACATTGCTGTTCACAGATGCTCTTCCTCCAATCTGATGGAGTTTAAGCTATTTTGCAAAGAAGAATGGGCAAAAGTTTCACTCTTTAGATATGCAAAGCTGGTAGAGACATACCCAAAAAGATTTGCAGCTGTAATTGCAGCGAAAGATGGTTCTACAAAGTACTGACTGCATGCCACACTTTTCAGATATTTATTTGTAAACAATTTTGAAAGCCATTTATCATTTTCCTTCCACTTCACAATTATGTGCCACTTTGTGTTGGTCTATCACATAAAATCCCAATAAAATACATTTACATTGTTGGTTGTAACATGACAAAATGTGCAAAATTTCAAGAGGTAGGAATACTTTTTCAAAGCACCCTAAGTATCTCTAAAAAATAAAATAATACATTTAGAATCTGATGCAGGTAACCAATCAGCTTCTAACTTCAGCTTGTTCAGTTAAGCTTTGACAATAAAACCTGGAAGCTGATTGGTTTCTATGCAGAGTTGCACCAGATTTTGCACCATGCAGTTATAGTAAATAGCCCCCTATGGGCTGTCTTGAATGTAACCCCAAAGCTGACTCTAAAAAGGTGTGAGACCTAACTTGGACTTTACAGTTTGACTGGCAGAGTGAGACCTCCTCCTCATTCTCCTATAGGTTTTAAAGACCTTCATATCCATGCAGAAAGATCTTCCCATTGAAATATCAAAGAGATGCACTGTCCAGTTTTAGTAAATAACCCCCTTGGAGTTGTAGTATTAAATACAGAGCTGCAATTATTTGCTTCATTTGTGTCTTTTATTTTTGCCTGGAGACTGGAGAAGCTTTAAGAAAGTTTATAGGATGTTCTTTTTTTTTTGGAAGCATATTTCAACATCAAGTGGATTAGAACATCGGTTCTTTAATGGAAATAATCATGTCCTTATATGTAGTTGTATGTTTGACTTATTACCAACTGTTTCATCATCATGGTAAATATTAACTAGAATGTATTGAGCTCTTATCAACATAGGC